TCAGAAGCACCCTCCACCCCCAGAGGAAGCTCTCTCTACAAGCCAGGCAGGGTGCCAGGAACTTCACATCCATTCAGTTGTTATTCCATCTAAAGTTCCTCATTTTTTCAGAGAAACCCGCAAAGAACTTGCCCAAGCATCTTACTCCACACCTGCAACTCACGCTGGAAAGGCTGGCCACCACCGTGGGCTCCTTTCCAGGGAATCAAGAGAGCATTGTTAACAATTCCCATCTGTGACGTCAGAAAACTCATGCTGGGGCAAAAAATGAAAACAAACAAATGCTACTCCCAGTATATGACAGATAGAAACGTATTCATTCCATCAGCAACTCTATCAGGGGTACCACTGCCATCCTATTTCACAAATGAGAAATCGGAGGCCAAGAGAGGGCAATGAGGGACCTGCATGAGGTCATAATGGCAGGCAGATCTGGATCCTAGAGCCCAAGTTTTCATCTATTTACAAAACTGCCTGAGAGGCGGGGATCGGGCTGGACTGGTTCTGCCTGGAGTTGTGTCAGGGACCAGGACTACAGCACAGAAAGCTCCAAGAGAGGGGGCTGCAACAAGAGACTCTTGCAGGCATTGGTGCTTGGGACTTGGGTGCCAGCAGCCCAGTATGGCTGGGCTGTGTACCAGGGAAAAGCACTGGGGAGAGAAGACTGGGCTAAGAGAAGGGTCCATTCATTTCCCAGACTTCCCCAGTGGACCCTGGGTTAGGATGCTGGCAGAAGCTGTGAAGGGCCTTGAATGCCAGGCTCAGGGGCTTAGACCATATCCCTAGACACGACAGGAGCCATGATAACTTCTTGCTTCTTGGCTCAGTTGGGGAACAGGGCACCATGCAAGGGGGCGTTCAGTTTCAGATGCAGCTGCCCTACATTCTGACCCAGATCTGTGGGTGCAAGAACATCCACCGGGGAGGTGTGAGGAGCAGGTGGCAGCAGCCAAGAGATTGGGAGGGCCTGGCTGTGCACCCCTGGTGGCAGTTACTTGTGTACAAACTGTTCCCCTCTGCTAGAACCTAACAAGCCCTCATCCTGTGCAGCGCTGCCTGTTGACCCACTCCTGGCACAACCCAGGAATGTAAAGGAACTAGCAAGACTGGAAACATTGTCCATGTTGTAGGGGAGCTTAAGGAAGCCTTGGGGGAGCCAGTGGGGTAACTGTGCAAGCTGCTTCAGAGCCCAGAGGACAAGAGTCCCCGCTCACAGAGTCTCTGCTGTGTCCAGGGCTGGGCAGGGCTGAGCATCCAGGCTTCTGGCCATGTCCCTGCTCTAAATCCTGCCATGGCTGCTGTGGGCCTCCACATGGCTCTCAGAACACAGGCCTGGGGGCATAGGGAAGCACTGGGGGGACAGGGTATGGCCAGGCTGTGCTCCTGGGCCCTTGGTACCCACGGGCTCTAATGCAGACAGCAAGTCCTCAGAGCCTCCTGCCTACATCATACCTGTGAAGACAAACAGAGGTGTAGAACCAGAGGAGAGGGAAGTGTCTGGGCAGCCCCGCACCCCAGGGGCTGACAGGAAAATTTCTTAAAGGAGTAATCCATGGAACCGGTGCTAGGAAAATCAGAGGCTAGAAGCTGGAGCCCGAGGAGCCCCCGGTCCCACGTGCACAATCGCCAACCTGCCCAAGGGCTGCAGTGGGAAGATATGGCCTGGCTGGGGAAGGGGCACAGACACAGAGGCAAGCAGACCGTGCAGGAGTCCTGGGTGAGCTGGGGCCAGTCTTGTACTGTCTCTAAGGTTGACAGAGGTGGCAGTCAGCCCCATACTCTCACAACAGAGCACTTACCCAAGGGTCCCTGGGATACAGGAGATGGCTCCAGGAGCACCTGTATACAGCAGAGCCTCTTACCTGCCGGCTCCCTTGCAGTCCTAGGGGAAAACCACCTGTTTCCAGCTGGGATCTGCATGTTGCAGTAACTCCCTGTTGTTCTCAGCATCAGTTATCCTGAGTGCAGCCTTTCTAACCTTTGTCACGCCCTTCTCGGAATCACCCCATCCAGGAAGCCTTCCCTGACTGCATTGGTTGGCACTGCATTGGTCCTGACTCCCCTACCCTGTTTGCCATCCTGTCCCCTCCTTTTCTTCCTCAGATTTCTCAGCCTGGCACTGTTCTTTTGTTGTTGTTGCTGTTGGAAAGTCAGATATACAGAGAGGAGGAGAGACAGAGAGGAAGAGCTTCCATCCATGATTCACTCCCCAAGTGGCCTCAACAGCCAGAACTGAGCCGATCTGAAGCCAGGAGCCCGGAGCCTCCTCCAGGTCTCCCACTCAGGTGCAGGGTCCCAAGGCTTTGGGCCATCCTTGACTGTTTTCTCAGGCCACAAGCAGGGAGCTGGATGGGAAGCAGAGCCATCAGGATACAAACTGGTGCCCATATGGAATCCCAGTGCATGCAAAGTGAGGACTTTAACTACACTATGCCCAAATTGGCACTGTTCTTGCTTGCTACAGGCCCCAGGCCCTGTCCCCAAAGTGGCTACACTCAGGAGCAGGGGACAGAGAAAAACACCCTGGAAAGATGAAACCCTCATTCAAAATCAGGGAGGTTGGAGAAGGAGGGACAGGGCGGGGCTGCATGTATATCACCAGCTGGGCTCTGGACACACACCAGACCCAAACACATACCACATGCCCTCCCCTCCTTCACCTGCCCACTTCGCACAGCATCCTTGCACAGTAGAGCCTATGCCTGGTGACTCCTAAGCAGATCCCTGGAGCTGGAACAGCAACAAACTCCAGGGAGCAGAATGTATCTTCCCCCAGTCCTTTACTGTCCTAGACACACAGCAGGTGCTTACTGAATAGTCTGGGTGAACAAACAGGAGTCAATCCCTCAGACTGGGGAACAGTAGAACCTAAGCCAAGCAGCAAGTCAGAGGCAGCAGCATGGCCAGCGGCAGGAAGAAGTTGGAGACCTGCACAGCTCTGGCCGGAGGTAGCATAGACATCACTCCCATCATACCCCGGGGCCATCTGCGTAGCCAGACCAGAGACCATGGTGGGCTGGCACTCGCACCTGCTGCTTAGAGCCAACTGCTGCATGTTTAGGAACTTGGCAAAAACATAGTCACTGCCAGTGGCTCTTAACCAAGATCCACAGTGCACCCCAGGGACTCTGGCCATGTCTGCAGACACTGTAGTCTGTCATGACTTGGCGCAGAGCAGTGACTGGCGCCACAGACAGGATGGACCTGGAAACACTCGGGAAGTTCCAAGATGATGTGGACGCAAACATGTTGAAGTATTCATCTTCTGTAAACATTTAAAGACCCAGAGGCCATATGCACAGGTCACTCTCCCACCCTTACCTCCCCCAAAAAGGCTCCAGACCCAAATGCTGATGGTGCCAGTATGAGGAAATCCCAGTATAAACTGACAATTCAATAAGTTGCATGGGAAAAAAAAAGCAGGAATTGCGGTGTAGAGGCTAAGCCCTCCCTGACACCTGCATCCTACATCGGAGCGCCTGGTTTCACATCTTGGCTTCACTTCTCCTCCAGTTTCCTGCTAATGTGCACCTGCAGGCAGCTGGAGGTGATTGTACAAACAGCTGAGGCCCTGCCTCCCACATGGGAGACCTGGCTGGAGTTCCCGTCCTCAGCCGGCCCCAACTTAGCTGTGATGGGCATTTGGGGAGTGAACCAGAGGGTGGGAGATCTCCCTGCTAGTTTCTGCCTTTTCCTCCCAATCATTCTGCCTTTCAAACAAAACACACAAACATTACTGTTGTGCCCTTACAATGTCTCTAACACATGGGATGATGGGAATGGTGTGTAAAACATCTACTGGGCGACCCCGTGCTCAGGGGCACTGCAATGGTGGCCTTAGGAAATAATACAGTGCATAACTGACACCACAGAACAGCACAGGCTGCAGACTCCTCCCCCACTTTTTCCTAGAGGGTCACAAGTTAGCAGCACACCGCTGGGTGTAACCGTAAGTAGAGAAAGGAAACTCGCAAGCCTTCACCAGCTTGCCAGCTCAGTCAGCTCAGCGCTAGCCAGCTGCGTGCAGTGTGCAATGAGGATCTGCCATGGGCACAGGCACAAGCTGCTTACACGCACACTCCACACACACACTGAACACATACCTTCACACACTGCATCCCCCTCCCCAAACACACACGCCACACTCGTCACACACCACACACACGTGTCCTATATCCCCCACTACCTGTGCTGCTACATCCACTCTCAGCCCAGTGGAGGAGGAACTGGGAGAATCAGGAGAACAACACTGACCACAGGCCTCACTGCCTCCTCACACTCTGGCCTCCACACTTCCCTGCGCCCCATACTCTGCTAAGACAAGGTCCTCCGCAAATCCACTGACCATGTTGGCCCATTGGATGCCCTGGCTGAACGCTTTCCATCCCTGTCCCAAGGGATTGAGGGGGAAAGGGGTGCTCCAGCACTTAGATGACTTCCGCCCTCCCCAAAGTCAGCTCCTAAACTGACTCCACCCACCTGATCACTCAGGTTGCCACAGGATGGAGGAGAAGCAAAGCCGCCAGGAATAGAACTGGCGCCCATAAGTGATCCCAGTGCATGCAAGGTGAGACTTTAGTAGCCAGGCTACCGCACAGGGCCCAAATTGGCACTGTTGCTGCTTGCAGGAGCTACAGGCCGCAGGCCCTGTCCCCAGGTTGGCTACACTCAGGAGCAGGGGACAGAGATGAAACCTGGAAAAATGAAACCCTCATTTAAAATCAGGGAAGTCCAAAAAAGGGGGACAGGGCGGGGTTGCATGTTCCTTCAGCCAAACCCAATCTGTTCCACACCCTCCAGCCCTGGGACAGACTGCACTGGGCTGTCCCCAACTTCCTCCCTGACGTACCTCCCTCCCTTGGGCTCCCATCACCGCCCAGCCCAGAAGCTGCACACCAGAAGCACTCAACACACATGTTGGGGATATGAGCATCCATGAAGCAAAGCCTAGGGCGAGAGGAAAAGCCCAGCTGCCTGGTGAGGCAGCCAGGAAGCCTTACCCCATTTTGCAGAGGAAAATCCTGAGCCTCAGTGGTTTGATGGGTGGAACCAGGTCAGGCAGACAGGCAGCCAAGCCAGGGGACTGTGAGAGAGCCCAGACTGGGGACTGCAACGGGGACAGCAACAGCCAGGGCAGGCCCCACATGCACGCAGGAGCAGCCCACAGCCAGAGTGAGGGGTTGGTTACAAAGAAAAGGAAAAGGCGTGCCTGATAGGCGTCCTGTTTCCTCTGCGGCTGGGGGCGGGTGTCTCTGGCCCGGCTGCGCTTGGCCTGTGTGAGGGCGGCCAGGTGGGGTTGGTCTCTCCAAGCTCAACGGGGGTCTCCTGTGGTCCAGCCTGGCCTGCACTCCACTGTAGTAACCCTTCCCAGCCTGGAGGAGCCTCCACCCAGATCCCCGAGAGGGGGAGGGAAGGTTCATTCCAGCTGGGCACCTCCTGCCCTCAGGGTGCTTCGGACCTCCACCAACAAGCCTTCCACATCACCCTCCCTGCTCCCTCTAGGGTCTCCCGCCGCCCCTTCCATCTTACCCAGCGGCAGTCCCCTTTTATAATCCTGCCCAGCTTGTCCTGTGACTCCTGGGCCCCCCATGAGTCAGGCAGAGAATAGCAAATGGGGCTTCTGGGGTGACAGGACACAATGAACCTCTCTCCCCAGACAGGGGTCCCTCCTGAGCATGGAAGCCAGGTCTCCTCTATCAAGCAGAGATCTCTCAAAAGGGAGTGGCTGGGACACCTCCATCAGCCTGGGCAGTCGCCAGAGGACAGGGGTATAGGTTCCCTCTTTGTTAGCTGGGGAGTTGCAAAGAACAGGAGACAAGCTCTTGCCATCAGACAGAATGTCCTCCTGGGGGACAGAACGGTGCCTCCTCCATCGGACTAGCAGCTCTCAGAGAACACAGTGCCGGTCTGCTGCCCCCCAGGCAGTTTCCAGAGAACAGAGTTCAGCTTGCTCTAAGACCAAGAAAAGTGCTTCCCAGTGGGTCCAGGCTGGAGGAGGCCAGCCTCCCAAGCCAACCTCTCAACCACGCCCTCACTTACATCAACACCGCCCTGTGCACTTAGGATGTGTCTGGGAAGCAGCCAGCGCCATCCATCCCGGCCAGGCACCAAGTTCTGGGACAACCCCGGGTAATTTCTCTTAAGTGGATGCCCAGGGCATGCTGTGTGCCCCTGCACTGGTGCCCCACTGTGGCCTAGATGGGTCTCAACATGGGATTCTATCACTCAGTAGACAAACCTCTTCCGCAGTCCCAGCCACCAGTACCCACTCATGGCTACAGCAGCATGAAGCACTAGGAAGCAGAGACAGCAGCGCCCTCCCAAGGTCCTGCTTTAGGGACAACACTGGTCTTCCCATGAGTGCTTGTCCCCAAGCCAAGGCCAGACAGCACCCACAGTCTGTCCCTACCTCTACCACACACACACACCCCATATGTGAGCTTCAGAAAGCTATTACTAGCATCAATCCACAGGGTGCTATGCCAACATGGGGCTAAGGGTAAGAGGCAAGAATCAAGTCCCAGGAGCCTAGGCGACAGGATAGAGCCAGGAATCTGCAGAGCCAGTCTTTGAAATGGGCCCAACTCCACCAGTCAAGCAAACCCACAGCCAGCACAAGTTCAGTGTGAGCAGCAGTCATGTAACTGAAGAGCAAACCCACATATATAACTATTTCTAATGATGACTGGATTCTACTTTTTATTCATTTACTTTTATTTTTACTTTTATTTTTGTTGCTTTTTTAAAAGATTTATTTATTTATTGGAAAGTCAGATATACAGAGAGGAGGAGAGACAGAGAGGAAGATCTTCCGTCCGATGATTCACTCCCCAAGTGAGCGCAACAGCTGATGCTATGCCGATCCGAAGCTAGGATCCAGGAACCTTTTCCGGGTATCCCACATGGTGCAGGGTCCCAAAGCTTTGAGCCGTCCTCGACTGCCTTCCCAGGACACAAGCAGGGAGCTGGATGGGAAGTGGAGCTGCCAAGATTAGAACCGGTGCCCATATGGGATGCCGGCGTGTTCAAGGCGAGGACTTTAGCTGCTAGGCCACGGCGCCGGGCCCATTTGTTGCTTTTTAGAAAAACATTTATTTATTTTTATTGGAAAGTCAGATATACAGAGAGGAGGAGAGACAGAGAGGAAGATCTTGCATCCATCGATTCACTCCCCAAGTAGCCGCAATGGCCAGAGATGCGCCAATCTGAAACCAGGAGCCGGGAGCCTCCTCCAGGTCTCCCATGTGGGCGCAGGGTCCCAAGGCTTTGGGTCGTCCTCAACTGCTTTCCCAGGCCGCAATCAGGGAGATGAATGGGAAGAGGGGCCGCCAAGATTAGAACCAGCACCAGTACAGGATCTTGGTGCGTGCAAGGCAAGAACGTTAGCTGCTAGGCTATCATACTGGACCCTATTTACTTCCATTTTTGTTTGAAAGACAGAGACAATACTTCATTCCCCAAATGCCTGCATCAACCAGGTCTGGGGCGGGCTGAAGCCAAGAACCTGCCAGCTCAATCCAGGTCTTCACATGACTGACAGGGACCGAGATACCAGAGCCATTGTCTGTAGCCCTCAGGATACATTAATAGAAGGCTGGGTTGGAAGTGGAGTAGCCAGGACTCCCATCAGGTACTGATATGAGATGTGGAAATTCTAAGTGAAAATGTAACTACTTTCCCCATCAGCCCCCCTACCTACTCCTTAAGGTATACTTTCTTATTAAGAAATTATTATTATTACTATTACTGCTATCATTCAAGCATTTAATACAAGCCAGGAGGTATTCCCAACACTGTTAAACTAAGTTGACACAAGAACCCTCTAAAGTAGACACACAGTAGCCCCACTGTAACCCAAAGTCCACAGCAGGAAATAAACAGAAGCAGCTCGAGCCATCTGCCTGATAAACTGAGAAGTAAAAACCGGATGATAATGCTTCTGGCTTTGCAAAGAACTGGACACTTTTTTTTTTAAAGATCTATTTATTTTCATTGGAAAGGCAGTGCCACAGAGAGGAGAGACAGAAACCCTCCATCAACCAGCTCAATCCCCAAATGGCTGCAACAGCCCAATTTGAGCCAATCTGAAACCAGGAGCCAGGAAACACAACCTCCACACAAGGTCTCCCACAGGGGCACAAGATCCCAAGGCCCTGGGCCATCCTCTACTGCCCTCCCAGACCACACACAGGGAGCTGGATGGAAAGCAAAGCAGCCAGGACATGAACTTGCACCGTTATGGGATTCCGGCTCTTGCAAGTTGATGATTCAGCCATTGAGCCATCACATTGGGCCCCATATGGAACACTTTTGAAATCAAGACACAATTTATCCTAAGTGTGTTCCCAACCAAAAACATTCATTCCTGGACACACTGTGCCAGTTTAGGATGCAGAAGATCTCCAAGAAGTTACATTCTCAGGCATGCTAGAATCTGCTACCTCTCCTCTGCTCACACTGTCCAATGCTCTCAGCAGGTGGCCAGAGGCCCCCAAGGAGTGGCCGGCATCAATATGCTCAGACAGAGCTGCCTACTGGATCCACCCCCAAAATACAGAAACCCCTGGGGCACAGGGCTCAAGCCCTGCCCCCAGGCTGAGGGCCCTATCTCACATACAGTCTATTTGGGTGTTTGCTGCCCAGACGCTCTGATGCATTAGAGAAGTGGGCTGGGCACAGGCTGGTGTTAGACAGCCCCGTAGCACCACCACCAGCCAGCAGTGGTGTTAAGTGAAGCCTGGCAGAGAGTTACAGCTTGGGAAGCAGAGACAACACTCACCATTGCCAACACAATCAGACTCATCTGATGGCCTCGGGCAGGTGCCTGTGCATCCCGGCGTTGGCAGGCTCTCAGCAGGAGCCCCGTTCTTACATAGGCGCTAATGGGAAGAAGAGGAGCTCAGGGCAACCAAAGTGAGGGACAGAGACAAGGTCTGCTATTAGGACAGGCTGAATTAGCAGGCACTTTTAGGAAATGCATTTCCATTACTTCCAAGAACACACCAGCTCACAGAGGAGATGGGGACAGCAAAGTCAGTCAAAGAAGGTAGCAGGTGGGCTAGGAGCCTTTCCTTGAACAATACAGTGGACTTGATCATAAATGTCCCAGCCTCAGCCCTTCCACCTCCTCCTCAAACTGACTCCCTTGTACTGTCTGTCCTAGGTCGGGTCATGAGATGCCTGCTGCGGGTGGGGAGGGGATAGTGGTGGCTCCTCCTTAACCATTAACCTGTCTGGACTATGAACCGCAGAAGCAGTTCCACATGCCCCAAGCCAGACTTCAGACCATCTGCTCCCAAGCCCAGGGAGAGGTAAGCAGTAGAAATGGATGTGTGGAAGAACAATTGGGAACAGGCTCTAGACCTCCCTGCTGGTGCTTAATGGCCCTGTCCACACACAGTCCCTCTCCTGTTCTCACCTGGATCCTGGGCTAGCAGCCTGCCATGCAGAGCGGTGATGGGGGAGAGTGCTTAACATCTGGAGGGGGCAGAGTGTAATGATTACACACACAAGACCGAAGGGCTGGGAGGTGCAGGAGTCCTGTCTCCCAACATCTACTTGGCACTCTCCACACTTGGGAGCCTGTGGGATACCAGACCTTACTGCCTAGTCCACCTCTTCTTCAACACCCTTGCTCAGCTCAGACCTCGCCCTCCTCAGAAAACCTCATAGCCAACATGCCCTTGGGGGCCTAATTATCAGAGTGTGGGTGTCATCACATCACAGAAAGGTGAAGATTCTGCCCACGTGCCCTCAGCTCAGTCTCTTGTGACTAGGACTGAGTCAGCCACAGAGGCAAGCTTGAGTCTAAGGGCTGCACTGCACGCAGCTCCCCAGGAGGCCACTCTTCAACACCTCTGCATCCTGCCCCCAGCCTGCCTGCAGGATAGCACCCTTGGGAAGTGTATGAAGGATGTATTCGTCAGCCGATCAGACCCACCTATGGTTGGGGCAGGGAAAGGGGATAGTGTTGGGAATTCCAGGCAGGGAGGAGGCACCAAGGGGGTGACAAAGCAGAGATCGATGCACAAAGCAGGTGACTTGGGAGTTGGGTCCCAAGAGCCAGTGAAAGGCTTATCAGTTCACCAACGTGTGCAGGTGCATGGAATTACAGGTCCTGACCCAGCAAGGTGCACTCTTCTAAAGCACCCTCACTGGGTTCTCAAATCCCACAACTGCGTGAGTAGCACGCACCCACGCA